CGAGCCGTCATCACAGTAAGATCATTAGAAAAGTATTAGATTGTAATTTTACACAAATAGTTTTAAAGTAAAGATTATTTTTGATTTTGTATCACTTTATTGTCAATCTTCAATAAAGGAACATAGTATAAACATATTAGAATTGCACAGTCACAGACATATAATAAGAGTAGTCCAGGTCATGGCTCATAACTGCCGAAGCAGGACATACAATACAAACATATAAGAGATAGAGATGTTATAAAGCATGATTGCCGAGATCTTTATTAAACAGTAGTTATTGTGTTCATGCCAAATAATTTCGTTTCAGATTAAGAAAAATGCATAATACATAATTCAATTTACTCAATTAATGTATAGAAAAGCATAATCATTTCAGAGGAATGGTGGGAGTAATTTGAAATGCCTTTGTCCTTGTTTTCAAAGAAGTTGAATGCATGTACATATTCTATATGCTGACAATGTGACAAGAAAGCCAATCACAAGTTAGAGAAAGAGAGAGAAAGAAAGAGAGAGAGGGAGAAATAAGGACAGCAGTGGGAGGGGGGGGGGGGCGTTAGGGTGAGAGAGGAAGATCAATTTTCAAAGGAGGAAAAAATAAGGGAAATAGTGACGTTAATTATTTATGTCGTGGGTTGGGATTGGACCTTGCGAAAGGGACCAGAAAATTCAATGATTCAAAGTTTATTCTGCGTCATAACCAAAAAACCTGTAAAGATACAGACAAAGCCAGTGATAAATCACTTGTAGCATATTACAGATTCAAACTGTTCAACGATATCTTTTACTTACATATTCAATATGTTTGTTCATAGTAACATGTATACATTGTATAGAAATGTTCTGTTTTTCATTTCATTTCATTTATTTATTTCATTCTCCATAAAATAACATTAAACATACTAACATGATATACATGATATACTGATAAATGATGGATTACAAGTAAAATACCAAGGGAAGTAGCAAACAATATTATATGGGAATGAGGGGATAACAAAAAGGGCAATTAGCCTTATGAACCTGTTAACCCCTTAAAAAGTATACACTGTATTTTTGAGAAAAGAAAAAAGGAAAAGAAAAGCAGAGAAAACCTGAACCCCAATACAAAAGAAAAAAACGGGAAGGAGAAGGGAAGGGGAGGGGGGGGGGGAATACATTACAAAGTGCATTTACTGAAGCGTTGCATCATTTAAGTTGAGATTGAACACAATGATAAAAGATGAGATTTATACAATCGTTTAAAAGCATTAGTTGAATTAGAGTTTTTCATATTAAACAGGTTATTTTTCATAAAACTGGCCTTTTGGAAAAAAATGTATTTTGGAAACATTTGTATGGACTTCAGAAAAATGAAAATTACCAGCATTACGAGTTTCATGAGAATGTGCTTCATAATTGAATGTAAATTTACATGACATGGACCTTGGCAATAAACCCTTTAATTGTTGAGAAAGTGGCAAAGTGTGGGCGTTGAATGTGGCATCACAAATTATTCAAACAGCTTTCTTTTGTAATACAAATAATTTCGTCATAAAATAATCAGAACCATTTGACCATGTAATATTACAATAATTAATGTGTGGAATTATCAAAGCATAATACAACATAATCAAAATATACTTGGGAAGTGTCTTAATCGATAAATAATACCACCTCCCTTAGCAACTCTGTTGCATGTGATATCAATGTGCTCATGCAAAATGAAACAGACTTCCAGTCATTGAATAATCCTCTCAATCATCAAAAAGATACAAGACAATAAAATTACACTGCATGATAAACATCAAAAGTATCACTCTTTGATTTAAAATATCAAACCAAAATCATCAAAAGATTCCTACCAAAAGTCAAAACACGTGCTATAATCGGTGTGACCGAAATTGGTCGAAGCTGAATGTACTCGGTGACTGGTGATGTCTTATGTTGGATGAGGTCAGTTGGTGTTTTATCAGCAAACTCTTTCAAGTTGACAACTAAAATCCTTGACACGATACACTCCATCCTACTCCTTAATCGATCATAATCATCTCCAAGTATAAGCCTACACACAATCTCCCAGATATTCACTTATTTGTGCACTCTCTGCAGAGTACTTATGTTGGATGTGGTCAGTTGGTGTTTGATCAGCATACGCTTTCAAGGTGACAACTAAAATTCTAGAGACTATACACTATATCCTACACCTTAATCGAGCATTATCATCTTCAAGTATAAGTCTACATACACAATCTACCAGATATTCACTTTTTTGTGCACCTTCTGCAGAGTACTGATGTTGGATGTGGTCAGTTGGTGTTTGATCAGCAAACTCTTTCAAGGTGACGACTAAAATCCTTGACACGATACACTATATCCTACACCTTAATCGAGCATTATCATCTTCAAGTATAAGTCTACATACGCAATCTCCCAGATATTCACTTTTTTGTGCACCTTCTGCAGAGTACTGATGTTGGATGTGGTCAGTTGGTGTCTGATCAGCATACTCTTTCATGGTGACAACTAAAATTCTAGAGACTATACACTATATCCTACACCTTAATCGAGCATTATCATCTTCAAGTATAAGTCTACATACACAATCTACCAGATATTCACTTTTTTGTGCACCTTCTGCAGAGTACTGATGTTGGATGTGGTCAGTTGGTGTTTGATCAGCAAACTCTTTCAAGGTAACGACTAAAATCCTTGACATGATACACTATATCCTACTCCTTAATCGAGCATAATCATCTTCAAGTATAAGTCTACATACCTGAAGAATCTCCCAAAACAAAGACTTGCCCCGCTCTATTTTGAATTTGATTTGTTTTATTGTCCACGTTAATGGAAATTCTTTTTTTCTCATGGTTACAAGGTATATACAGTACATAAAGCATAGGTCAATTGAACAAACTTCAAATTACACATTACTTATTAATCACCGAGTAGGTCATATTAATAATTTAAAATTAATCTTTATAGAATCAACACTAAATTTAAAAACAATAAATCATACTTTATGATCACACAATCTCATTAATGACTGTATATTTAATTTAAATATGCATGTATGAATAATATTAATCACTTTAAGTGTTATAATATACTTTGTATCAAAATACGTTTAAGGTATCGCCCCCCTCCTATTACCTTCAGGAATACCAAAATACGTTTACGGTATCGCCCTTCTCCGATTACCTTCAGAAATCATCTCATCTTATTACTTTACTATTGAACGTGTGCATGGAATCGGGGACAAACGAGTTTCTAATGCGAACTTGTACGTTCTTACGGAAGTCTACGATCATTTCCTTAGTTTTTGATACATTAAGTTGCAGGCAATGCGATTCGCACCATTTCACAAAAGAATCAAGCACCGGGAAATAACAGTTGGCATCACCAGAGAGAAATCCTGTGATGACTGTTTCATTGGCCTACTTGATGATAGTATAATTGGCCTACGTGCTAACACCATCACTTGTGTATGTGTACAGTGAAAATAGCACTGGGGATAATACACACCCCTGAGGCCACTACTCTATGACATGTCTGTGTTTGAGGATGCTCAAATGGTGTCTGCGAACAGACTACACATCAAGGCACTAGCCTGTACCTCAGTATTGGACCATCTGTAGTCCCAATCTCCCAGCTATAAACTTTCTTGTTTACTTCTCTGAAGAGTACTTATGTTGGATGTGGTCAGTTGGTGTTTTATCAGCAAACTATTCCATGGTGACAACTAAAATTCTTGAGACTATGTAGATGGTCAAGTTTTGTCTGCGAACAAGGCACTAGTCTGTACCCTGGTATTGGACCAGCTGTAGTCACAATCTCCCAGCTATAAACTTTCTTGTTTACTTTCTGCAGAGTACTTATGTTTGATGTGGTCAGTTGGTGTTTGATCAGCATACTCTTCCATGGTGACAACTAAAATTCTAGAGACTATACACTCCATCCTACTCCTTAAACGATCATAATCATCTCAAAATATAAGTCTACATTCAATTCAATTTATCATTTATTTCAATCATAAAACCATAAAATAATATATACAAAAGTAACATGAAACAATCATAATCATAAATTTCGGGAAATCATGAAGAAATTGGAGACTAAAAAGGAAGATTGAAAAACTTGTTAGCAATAGTCCTCTGACATAAATAATGAGTAACAAAATTACATGGTTGTACATGTTACCAAAACGAAACAAAAAAACAAAAATATGATAAGATACTACACATTATAGATACACACCGATGAGCACACACACATACCTGAAGAATCTCCCAAAAATAAAGACTTGTCCCACTCTACCTCACGTCTGTCCACGTGAATGCTCAAATGGTGTCTGCGAACAAACTACACCCACGACAGGGCTACTCGCCCATGCTGCTTACTTTTTAAAAAAACATCACTTTATCGTTCAAACTTGCACAACAAAGGAGAAGATACAATAGCCCAGGACATTTCCATTTTAATGGAAGATACAATAGATAGTTTGGATAGATTCTGTCGAACTTGTTTCATATTGACAGTTTTTTACAATTTCTTTCAACAGCTGCTTTAGCCTCGTCATTGTCTGGTGATTTCCAAAGCCGATTTCCAAAGGAAGAATCACCACAGAATACGGCCTAATTAATGCATACAGTAAAAAGGAATGTCACCGCCACTTGACCTAGTGTCATTACGCAACCTAGCACATAAATAAACACCTGATTCAGCTTTACATACAATGAGAAAAAAATTTCCAAGTGAAAGAACATCAAATATTATCTCCATCCTTATCACTATATTGGAAGCAAAATATAAATTTGCTTTAAATGTAAACATCATAAAAAAAGACTTTCACAAATATCCAACCTCTGACACTTATTTATTCATAAGTTTCATATTTATTGTCCATTTAGCAATGGAAATTTGTTGTGTTATATGGTATTACGATACACATATATAACATAATAATACACTCATACAACAAATAAATAAATAATTTTTGAGTTGACAGAAAACAAAAACAAACAATTAACAATCAAAATCAAAATTCATGTTTACTTCAAGGATGTAATTTGCCATTTATTTGTTCAATTTTATCTGGATTACGTTTTGGATGGTCATCTGTTTATACTCTTACCTTTCGAACACGAGTCTACATGATAACTTGTATCTATGCTCTATCAGTAATCCATCTCTTTCTATCCATCAGGTTGGCATTCCATACCCGAACGTGCGCGATGCCCAGGTGGAGGCTAAGCGTCATTACAATGACCAACACTCTGCCTCTAGAGGGCTCCTAACCGGTAGTGAATGGTACGAGGTCCAGGCTTACAGGGCTCTCAACCAAGCTTTAGGCAGGTGCATCAGACACAAGTGAGTACAGTCATGATATAAACTGTTATTAAAGCCTGTCTGTACTAGTTTGGCCAAGAGGGATTAGACCACCCAGCGTGGTCACTGACAGGTGGCTATCTCATCAACTCAGCTCTCAATTAACATTTAACCCTATTTAGCCCGGGCTATTTTGAAACTGCATAGCCCAGGGGGGGGCTTCTCAGGCCCCCCCCTGTGATCTCGGCCGTGAAACGCCCGATCGCCGCGAAAATTTGCATACATGTCAAGTGAAGTGTATAGAATACTATGGTAATTTCAATTTTTTTGAAAAATTCACTCATTTGCATATTTATGGTAATTTATGCAAATAAGGTCATTAAATTCACATTTTTGCCCATAAATCAGACATTATTCATATTTAAGCATTCTTTCTCACTACATATATTTGTTAGACCATTTGGAATAATAATACAACATAAAAATTTGAAAAACCAGGGTTATTCCTTATGTTATCTATTGTTTTGATAATTTCTTATGTATTTCTTTGTTTTTTTAACTTATGTATTTTATTGTTTTTGTTGTTTTATTTCATTTCCAACTATAATTCAACTATTTTGACCCCAAAATAAACACCTAAAATCTAAACAAGACCAAATAACCAATGTTTTACCTCTTTATTTGAAAAATGAGATTTCCATATGTTTTGTACACAAATCACAAAAATGAGCGATTTTCGGGCTGACATGCGAAGACAAAAGGACACGTGACTTTGTAATGGTAGGTCCGATTTTCGAAAAATTTCTTTCAAAAGTTGCGCAAGACTCGAAAGAAAAAAGTCACAAAATTTAAGTGCAAGATTTTTTTGCGTTAAAAAATTATCGCGAAAAATGTCGAGGGGGGGGCTTCTCAAGCCCCCCCCCGGGCTAAATAGGGTTAAGAAAAAGAGGATCATGGGGGACCAACGGGCACCGCCTAGACATTGTTTTCTATATAGAGGGAGCAAGTAGCTATAAGTAGTACAGTGGGGCTTTAAAGGAATGAAAAGGCTCTGTGAAATGACACAATACTATGGCATTTATAAGCATTTTGGAATAAAGTACTGTAACTGTAACTGTAACTGTAATCAGTCCAGATAATCACGCTGTAAAATACAACATTACCTGAGGACCATTTACAAGTAAATACTGTTCTCTAGGAGGACCCTGCAATCAGATTACACAAATGTGCTTATTATTATTTAGATTGTCAGTGTGAATATGAATTGTTTTAATTGCAAGTATTTGTTCCCAAGTGGTTGTTTTGATGTTATAATGAAATAAACAGAAATTAATTTTTTTAAATCCCATTCTGGACTAATTTTTATTTCCATAAGTACTGATTTTTGTTTTTTACCATGTTAATAATGCTATTTTTTTTTTAATGTGTTTTACAGGAAAGACTGGGGAGCTATTTTGTTGGTTGATGAGCGTTTCAGTAGGAATCCAAACAAATACTGCTCAGGTAGGCATTCTGATCACGAATTCATTAGTTTACCTTTCTCTATTTTTATTAACCATCTTGTATATTCACACTTTTTTCCATGTTTTAATTAAACCCACCTTGAGGTGAACTGATCTGGGGAATTCAACGTTTATATTCAACAGCTTGTATTGTGTGATCATTGTGATGATGGAAAAATGAGTTATGGTGTTATCTTTCAATATTTGATCAAAGATACATGTAAAGGTGAGTTCTGGTTATCCGATTGCATCGTGAAAGAAAATGTGTGGAATGGATCAGAAAAAGTTGATCATGTACAGTAGCATGTCAGTATTGGTGTGTACTGCAAGGTTTGGGATTCATCAAAATCATAATAAATTTGACCCAGTCTTGGTAAAGTTAAACAAGCACTGTACATAGAAAGATGTATATGGGACTACACAAATGGTGTCGGGGCTAGCTTACCTTGATTTTCTTATCTTTCTATGCTCATTACTCAACCAGTATACATTTTCTACCAAAATTGTTTGGCACATGACATTTATTTGTGATCTTGAACATTCAGTGTAAGTTTTGTTTGATTCTGTGAGAATTCATTTTCTTTTTTTAACCAGAACTCAAATTTATCTTTAATGGTGATCTTATTGGACAAATTCTTATTCTTCACAGGTATTTCCAAGTGGGTACGAGGTAAGGTGATCCATAACACCCATGCCAGAGATGCTCTCACTTCTCTATCAGAGTTTGCTAACGTCAGGATGCAAGGCTCGCCCGATGCAGAGTAAGATTACTTCTTACCAAATATATGATTTGGAATATCTGCGATCCAACATTTGATATAGAGACCAGGGATGCTAGTTTTCAGGCAGTAGCCTGAATTCAGGCCCTGGCAAGTTATTTTCAGACCATAGTTTAGGCTTTTTTGTGAACAAAATAGCTCATTCTAGGTGATTTTCAGGCCCTATGATTAATTCTAACTGGCATCCCTGAGAGACATATGTTTGAGGTTTTGTAGTAAAATGATAACATGAATAAGTCATTCTGTAACTGGATGATAATCATCAATTATGAGTGTTTGAAATATGGAAAAACTGAACATAGAATCCCTCATGGACTACTCTTATTTAGGTAATGGCTATTTAACCTTAATCAAACTATAAGATGTATTTTCAGCAGTTTTTATTATTCTGATAAGCTGAGTGTTTGTGTTAATACTCTGAAATTAGTCAGCGTATATTGGCAGGGTACTACAGTTTGAGCTGATAATAAATTCACACCATAAAGGATGGATTAGAGCTGTGATTTAGAAGAACTGATTGTCCTCAAAAGCTGCCTAAGCACTCGTTTCATTTGTCACTCTTTTATCCCGATGTAGTAATATAGTTACGTAGTCGGTAAGAATTTCTTGAATGCTTTCACAGCAGAAGGCAGCTTGGCCATAGGCAGGGTATTAGTTGAACTTTGAATGTGGATGTAGCATTCCTTGTTCTTGTTGTTTTATAACAGAGACTAAAAACAATCCCCCCCCCCCCTTTTTTTTTCATTTCTACTTTCAGCACATCTGTATTTGATAGCACACAGCCCAACTCTCAGACGCTCAGTCCAACCACCCCAAGTGCTTCATCACTCAACACCAGCAAACTTTCCCACACGCCATTCCGCTTCAACCATCAAGCGTCCATGCCAGGTACACCAGAATATGCTTCAACAAGCAGGATGGATCATGTTAATCACAACCACCCGGAAAGTGGTATGCTTCCTGGTCGTAGCAAAGTAGGACAGCTCTTCGTTCCCATGTCCAAAGCTGCATCGACACCCACAAGCCATTTGACCAAGGACTCTACACCACTGCAACACCATACAGGCCGACAAGGAGCAGAGGATCATGGTTCTCTGAGAGGCAACGCAGGTCATCAGACGGTTGAGGAGCAGCAAGAACAGACTCGTGGGAGCAAGTCGAGAAGAGATAGAAAACCTAGAGATAGAATCAAAGGGAAGAAAGCTCAGGAGAAACTTGGGGCTGGTCAGCAAACACTTCTGGCTTTTTCACCATCTGTAGGGTCAAAGGCTACTGAGAGTACATCCAGGCAACCACAACTCGGTGTGTCTCTCATTAACAAGATAGAGGGTCAACACCAGATTGTAATCATGAATAGTGACACTCTCCAGATCGCCCAACCAGAGTCGGCAAATTACAATCCTGTAGAATCAGTAGAGCCTTTACCGAGTGTCCCGATCCAGAGAGAGGAGGTTATTGACCTAACATCACCAGTAAAGAATCTACCAACTCTAGAGGAAGTACAGAGGACCCGCATACCAACTCCAAACGCAAAACTCAACTTTGAAGATGAATCGGTACTAAAGGAGCCAAAGAATCCACAAGAAAAGCCTTCTACTTCATTCACGAACAAGCTCTCCCGATTTGCCTTTAACAAAGATGTAAATGATAATGGTTGTGCGAAGGAAGAGAGTAACGACCTGAAATGTTGCAAGGTTCAGAGAACCCTCGGAAATGTAGCTGATCGGGTATCATCCATGAAAGGACACTTCGCAGAAGACGTACAGGGAGAGGGTGCTTTGAAAGGAGATCAAAGAACTACATGTGTACCTACTAGTGATGACGAGGAAGAAAACGTTGAGGCAGACGAGAGGAGGAGAAGACGGGAAGAAGACAATAGGACCCCTGTCCTCTTTGATTCCGAGGTGGGAGATTCTGGAAGTGATACGGCTTTGAAACCTACCCCTTTCATCCCCCAAGGCATCAAGACAGAACCTGAAGACTCAAAGAGAAACAGTACTGAAGACATCTCTAAAAAACTAAATGAAATTCTAAATGGCAATAATAAGTATCGTGCAGCTGATAAGACTGAAGACACAACTGAAATCAAGATGGAAGAGAAAGAGAGATCTTCAAGGAGATTATCCATAAAGGGGCGAAGGAATCTTAGTCGCAGAAAGGAGCACTGTGAACAGAATGGAGCTGAGGAAGAAGCGCACGAAAGTAAGTGATTACATGTGTACATGTACCTACTCTTGCTACGATATATATCGTATCCGATACTACCCCCTAGGACGACTACCCCCTGGACAACTACCCCCTAGGATAGTTGTCCGGGGGGGTAGGTGTCCTAGAGGATGGTTGTCCCAGGGGTAGTTGACTGGGGGTGGATATCCAAGGGGTAAGTGTCCTAGAACCGATATATATATATATATGTAGGTGTGTTTCTTGTTTTTTTCTTGTTTCTTGTGAAATGAAAGCACCTGTATGGCAGATATAGCAAGCAGTTTTGAAATCTTCACATTGTGCAGAGAAACGACCAAGTGATGATCCGAAATTGCTTCTGATGTACCAATCATAAGGCCATCAGAGGGTTTGAAAGAAACATTAAGAATAAGAATTGTGTTCAATAGTGATTATATCTAGTTCAGCTTTTTTTTTTGTATTAAATGTACCAGGTATGTTGATTCTCTGTTTGTGTCCTTCTTTACAGCTGCTGTTCATGAGACTAGATCCCACATGTTAGTGCGCAGGTCTGCAAGAACAAGGAGAACGCCTAAGAAAGTTGTAGAATCTGTAGAGGTTAGTTTACTGTTTGACTGCTTTGTTCAACTTTGTTCAAATTTTTGACCGGTTTAGTCACCATGTTTCATCACTCCAATAGACCATTTTCATAATGTAACCAAATATAATGCATATGTTATTATAACACTTGTAAATCTGGGGGGTGTTTCACAAAATCGCCACAAGTACATGTTCGCCACAACTATTTGAAACGTGTGTTTTTTAGTTCACACATGTTCCAATAGGATTTCAGTGAACTTGTACTTATGACCGCTTTGAGAAACAACACCCTGGCTAAAGATGATTCCTGCAAAGTATGTTGATTTAAAAAACTTTATGTGATGCAGTCATGAAAAGCATTTAAGATATTTATTAGATGGATATAATTATTCATTTCTTTTTCATTTTTTAGTTGTCGTCATGACAAATTTAACTGGATGTATTCCTTTATAGCCTGTCTGCACTAGTTTGGCCAGGAGGGATTCAACCTCCCTACATGGTCACTGACGGGTGGTTATCTCATCAAATCAGCTTCTCAATTAACATAAGAAAATGGGGACCATAGGGGACCAACAGTCACTTCTTAGGCATTGTTTGTTATATAGAGTGCACAAGTAGCTATAAGTAGTGCAGTGGGGCTTTAGGAATGGTTGCCTTCAGGTTAAACTTTCTTTACCTCTTATTTCTTTCTCCAGCAATCTAAGTTCTGCAAGGAGGATGTAGAGTGTCCACAGTGCGGTACTTCATTGGTTCACAGCTTAGATGGTAAGTTGTACTAAACATTTAGATGAATTGGGGGGTGTTTCACAAAGACTAAGATCGGCTTTAAGTTGGACTTAACTTTGGCAGGCCATTCATGCCACTGGTTGCTCTCATCATTATGATCTTTAGATAATATTTTTTCCTTCAATAATGAACTATAAAAAAATGCAAATTCTGTAGATTTGCGACCATGATTCGTACGTCCCTTGCCAATAAATGGTGAGAGAAAACAGCGGCATGAACGGCCTGCCATAGTTAAGTCCAACTTAAAGTTGATCTTAGTCTTTGCAAAACACTCCATTGGAGTACTTTTAAAATCTACTGTATGATTGTAGAGGGGAGGTGGAATTCATTAGCCAAATTGGAAGTAGCCATGGAACCATTAGCTATTTTGAAGGAGTATTATATAAATTCAATAGTCTGTATCTTAATCAAGAACTTGTGTTATGTAGCTTAACAGTTACCTGTCTTCACTTGAAGTAGATTTCTACAGGAATTCAAATTTTAATGTTTCATTCAGATTCTATAAATGTATTTAAATTTCTCAAAAATCTTGTGTATAAATTTTGAAAATAATTTTTTTGAAAATATAACTCTGAATGCAATTAATATTGGGTGCTGGGATATAAACTGAATAGTACAATAGTTGGTAAAAGAATGTTCATGTTTTGTTTCTTCTTTTTTCTGAAGGGATGACATGTCTGCAGCCTGAGGATGTCAAGAATAAATACCTGTTGGGTGTTATGGCAACCAGGAAAAGGGGTCAGAGTTCATCTTGTGGATGTCCAGGGAAGAAAGTGGTGGGATCTATGATTGTGACTGATACAAGCAACCTTTCACACTGTAGCTGTATCAGAACAGAGGAAATATCAGGTAAGAAATGTGTTTGTGTCTGGAATAATAAGAAGGTGTGGTATGTGGTAGAGTTGTTGAACTGTGGTCTGTGATAGTGCTGTGGCTGGAAAGGTTAGACGTGTGTGAAGTTTTTCGAGGGGGTTGATGGTTTGCTGTTTGTTTGGTGAGACTTATGATTATGCTGGTACTTTGACATTTGCTAGTTTTTTTTGGCTTATGTATGATGGTGTGGCATATTTGTTTGTGGTAAGTTTTGTTGCTGTTTGTGTTAAGTTTTGTTGCTGTTTGTGTTAAGTTTTGTTGCTGTTTGTGGTAGGTTTTATTGCTGTTTGTGGTAGGTTTTATTGCTTGGTTGATGGCATGCAAACTGTGATGATTTGTTCACCGAGCTTGTGATTTATTGTATGGTAAGACTAAATAAAAGGCTATCCTTGACCGATAAGTTTTGAGGTTGATATTATGATGGTGTGACGTGTAGTGTGTGGTACATTAAGGTTTAGTTGCCATTCATGGTACGGTTTGTTGCTGGGTTGCTGATTTGCAAAGTGTGATGATTTGTCCACTAAGACAGTGATTTACTGTGTGGTAAATTCAAAATTTACCACACATTTAGCCGGTGCCTCTGCATTAACTAAGATTTTTGACTAGACATGATGATGATAGTGTGCTGTGTTGGTGTGTGGTAAGGTTTGTTGCTTGGCTTAAGGTTCAGTGATTTTAGGTCTTCTAGGGAGTGTTTCACAAAGACTAAGATTGTCTTTAAGTCGGACTTAACTATGGCAAATCGTTCATGCCACTAATTGCTCTCACCATTGGTCTCTCAATTATGATCTTTAGATTATATTTTTTCCTACACTTATAAACTATCAAAAAATGTAAATTCTGTAGATTTATGACCATGACTGGTACGTCGTCCCTTGAGAAACCAAAGCCAGTAAATGATGAGAGAAATTAGTGGCATGATTGGCCTGCCATATTTAAGTCCAACTTAAAGTCGATCTTAGTCCTTGTGAAACACTCCCCTGGTGGCCTAGTGTATGGTTGGGATTGCTCCGTGTTCCTTGCTTGTTGTGTTGAATGCGTGGCTGGTATCATTGTTGCTGTATTGTAGGGTTTGTTACAGGAGCTGTGGTAGGGTTGGAGGTGCGATGGCTCAGTGGTAGAGCAATGGTCTCGTAACTAAGCGGTCCCGGTTACGAAAACAAGTCAATGCGCTCATGCCCTATTGTAAGGCATTAATCCTCATTACCAAGTCCCTCGGAGAGGACTTACAGCTGTCGGTGTCCTGGTTGCTTACATACAAGCATACAATGTACATGCTTTCTTAATAATAATAATAATAATAATTATCCTTGCTTATATAGCGCCTAACACTTACTTTATCAGAAGTCTCTAAGCGCTCTACAATAATGCAGCATAATTACCGTGGCTTTAGCAGCAAGGTAAAAGTATCACCAAACATGGTAACCGTATGGTATGTTTCATGGCTAATTGTTTGTTTTGTGGCTGAACTGATTGGATGAAAAAGTGTTGTGGCTAGGAATTTCATTAGGACCAGTGAATTAGTAGGAGGTTGGGTTTGTGGTTTTTCTAAAACATGTTCTTCTTTTACATTTTTCAATTCTAGACCTTTGCTTTATTGCAACCACTAAATACGGGGGTTTGGCTTTGTGAAAAGAGTGTGATTAATTCAAAATTGCTATATTGCCCTGACTTCCAATCTATAAATCTACCAGGAGAATATAATTTTTTATGACTAAAATTGCAAAGGAACATTGTATTTAAGAATTGCGTATACTAGATGTCATTCACTAATTAGCAAAGTGTCAGTATTTTGATGAATTGTTCTTTCCGAGAAGTTGAGAACAACAGAGTGTGCTGAAAATTGAAATGATGGAAGATAAAATTCAAGATATATTACACTGAAATGAAGCTGAGCTTTGAATTTTGTTCACATTTGAAACATGTCATCTCTGATACATGTATGCACACTGATGATACAGTTCTTAAGATATATGAAAGTTTTGTTTTGAAACCTAGAATGTACAAAAATGCTGTCATTTCCAGTGTAAACATACGGTAATAGAATGATGAATTGCCATCATAGATTATTATAATAGAAAACAAAAACCTTGCTTTGACCTTGGGCGGGGATTAGTTGTCATTTTCCAATATAAAAGTCTCTCTTAATGAGTCTTTTTGTATTTAAAGGTATGTAATCTGATATGGATACTTTGTGGAAGTCTTTCATTGCTTCCCTTTGTAATCCATGACTCACTGAAATTTGTCTGAGACGGTCTCTGATTTGACTTGCATTGGGTCATTAGCCACCGCTTTTACCAGTGTTGTTCTGGAATCACGCAAGTTGAGGTCAAAGAGGCGGAGAGAATACTTAGTAGTACAAAGAATATTCATGCAAGGTTAGTTGTGTGAAAGACGCCGGTGACAAAAAAAAATGACTATTTGATTACCCCAATCTTTACTTAGTGGGGAAGTTGCCAATTTGTGCTTGATACACGCAATTAATTTTGGTTTTTAAATGATAGATACATGGCACCAGAGAGTGATTATCAGGCAAATATTACACATGCATAACAATATATTTTTAATTGAATTATCTTTTGAGGATTATGGTTTTGTAAATAACTGGAGACGAAGAAGACAATAAGTGATGAAGAATAGGAGACAGAAGTAGTGAAGTTGAAAACAAAGAAAATGGAGGGAAAAATGGATTGTAAATAAAAATATAAAGCATGTGAAAAAAAAAAAGATAGGGGAGATTTTGAAGAAATGTATTGAATAGGGATTATTTCGGGATTGATATTGATTAGGGATAGGGTTCAAAACAATGTCAATGCACTGATTCCTTTTAGTTCTTAAGAAGACTATAATTCTTACGTACCAATTGTCTTGGACATTACCTCAAGCTTTAGAACCTGTGGTTGCTTTCCTACAAGCGTACTTGTTTTGTGAGCAGTCCGGTAAATAATAAACACAGGAAGACAACATAAGGGAGATGATGAATGTAGAAAATATGGGTTAAGGAAAAAACAAAGAAACAAACAAACAAATATACAAACAAACATAATGAAAGAAGACATGAAGTCAACATGATGCTAAAGATATCAAAAACATTTACAGTGAAATCTGTCTATAAAGACCATCCAAGGGAGACAAGAAAAGTGGTCTTTATAGACAGGTGGTCTTTATGTACAGGTTCCTCTAGTACATGTTTCAATGAGAAACCACTTTCAAGGGAAACAACAAATGTGGTCTTTGTAGACAGGTGGTCTTTCTATACAGGTGGTCACTAAAGCAGGTTTCACTGAACCTGTAAATGATAAACCCAAGTGATATATACTTGTTACTTATATTGTTACATATGTAATTATCAGCTATCAATTGCTTTGTATGTTGTTGGCTTATGGCATGTGGGGGTCTGAGAGATGACTATTACTTGTATCATGGTAAAGCTTCTACCAAAGCAAGTGTGCCTAAAAGCCAGCATGCTTGAATTCTAGCAAGTCTTGCCAACGTGCGTGTCGTGGCCTTCCTGGAGCTCATCCCATCCGTCCTGTCACACACGAGGCCATTGATTGAAAGGAAATGAAGTGCATCTTGTAACACTTGCCCCGTCAACCCCGAAATTGATGCGGGGAACATCCCTCTTTGTTCCTATTGTTGGCCCTCGCCTGTCGTTTGTCACCGTCAGTGAGAAAAAGTGCACAGAGGTTGCACACCTAGATGTAGATGCATGTAGTTAGGATTTCAATCACGGTCCCCGTCATGATGGTAGCAATTGGAGGAGAGAAATGGAGAGAGAGGGACGGAGAGAGAGACAGAGACAGAGACAGATAATGAGAGAAAGAGAGAAAGTGGAGGGAGAGGGGATGGAGCAAGGTGGGGGGGGGGTGGCTGCATTTTGTATTTGGATTGAAATCAACGCTCGTGGTGATGACAGCGAATTTAAGAGAAAAATGGAGAGGGAGGGAAAGAGAGGTAGAATGAGAGAAGACGATCTAAGTGGAGGGAGAGAGGAGGGGGGGGGGTGAGGATAAATAAGAAAAATGGAGAGAAAGCGAGAGAGGGAGAGAGAGAGAAAGGCATAGACAAAAAAAAAGTGTTTTGGGATAGCACACCTTTATAGCTGCATGTTGTAGTTAGGATTGCAAACATGATTCATCCATGATGGTAGAATTGGAAAAGAAAAATGAAGGGGGAGTGTGGGAGAACTAAAAGATAGAAAGATAGAGAGAGAGAGAGAGAAAAGAGAAAGACAGACAGACAGACAGATGAAGAGAGAGAAAGAGAGAGAGAGAGAGAGAGAGGTGGGGGGGGGGGGAGAAATGGAAAGAGAAAGAGCAAACTGGTGAGAAAGAGAAAACTAAGGAGAAAGAGAGAGAGATAGGAGTACGGTAGGAAGACAAATTTGTGCAGAATTATTGAGACAAAACCATTATAAAAATAGCCAATTAAAAAAAATTCAAACATAATAATCAATGTCTCTCATGTTGCAAGTCTCTCTTCTTTTATAGACAGGTGCAAAAATGATGTGATATTGCTTTGGTTCCATTTGGCCAAATTGAGTTTTGCAAGTACAGAGAAATTTTAAATCAAATTCATGGCACCCATCATAAGTACATTTTTCTCCTAAAAAGCAAATTTTGACTGACAACTCAATTTATCTACAAGTTAATTACGGTCACATGTATGAAATTATGAATTGAATAGAGAGGACAGTAATGCGACAGTCTTTTATTGTTGATAGGTGTCTAGTCAATTTATTCCTGTCAATCCTGTGAACAGTGGCAGCTGGTATCGTATTATCTTCTTACTCTCGTTTTTTTTCTACCTCTTTGTTAGTAGCTTGCCCAGTGGTTCATCTTTGGCAACTTCTGTGCTCTTCCTTTAACTAATAATTGTAAAGTAAATATAGGAACATAGCATTTTCTTTGGAAATGGACACCAGAGAAGTAATAATGAGTAAACAGACAGAGAAAAAAAAAGAAAAAAAAGGAAAAAAAGGAAAAGATGAGAAAATTAGAAGAGATCTAGATAATATACATGTTTTTTTTTCTTTTTTGTTTTGTTTAATTTTATTTCAGAGAAATTTTTATCAGTATTAAACATTGGTTGGACAAAGAGGATTAAAAGTGCTTGCTTTGAAAATGACAATAGTTATTCAAATTAGGAGGATTTGTTATTGGGAAATAATGGAACCAACCTCTGAGAATTTAACATTGGTTGGAAAAAGAGGATTAAAGTGCTTGCTTTCAAAATAACAGAGTTATTCAAATTAGGTGGGTTTGTTAGTGGGAAATAATGGAACCAACCTCTGAGAATTTAACATTGGTTGGAAAAAGAGATGAACAATGCTTGCTTTCAAAATAACAATGTTATTCAAATTAGGTGGATTTGTTAGAGGGAAATAATGGAACCAACCTCTGAGACGACTTTCGCCAAAGTGCAACATCCCCGCGTGATGGAGGATCCCTCGAAGTGCTAGTGATAGATTGGGCGATGATCACATCATCACGCAGTCAAATTTACTCTCAATTTACACCAAATCACCCTTCCATTTAGCGTCTGGCCTGGCTGGAGAGAGTGGCGAAGGTGGATGTGCTTCGTGAGATGATGTTATCCACACCTTAATGGGAGTCATGTTCCTTGATGATGAGGGAATGATTAGGGTGGAGAAAAGTGTCACATCTTGCTTCCATAAATCACCCTTAAAAACTCCTCCGGTAACTCTTCGGATGCCATGAAGAACTGTACGTCTTCGTGTTAACCTACAGAATGCTAGCTGCAGAGAAGTGTCACCAGTTTTTGTTGTTGGATCGCCATCAAAATTGTGGGTGTTTTTTTTTCCACCACCCCATACTGTACATAAGTCACCCTTTGAAGTTTAACTCACTGAATGCTACAAAAAAAGTAACACATCTTGCTTTCATAAACCACCCTTAAAGGTAATACAAAGTTTTGGTATGGGGTCATGGGATCCTATAATATTCATTGATCGTTGTCGCGGTTGAAATCGAGTAATGTAAATAATAAACTCTTTATGTTGTATAGCTCCCTCTCAAGGTCAATATATTAATTAAGCTATAAAACAATGTTTTTTGACTAAAATCAACCTATTAGCTATTTCCGTTTGGGAATTATATATCAGAACTACATATTCTGAGATTTTCATGGTCGCAGCTACCATTGTACGGCCGTAGGCGCTATTTGAAATTTATCAAAATTTACCGGTGCATTTTTCTCGAAAACAGAAGTGTTTTAGGGGCTAAATTTTCTAGTGCTCATAATACATCCACAGGGGTATCCAATTATATTAAAATTGTAAAGAATCATTATCAACCCAATTTCAAAATTTCCCCAAAACTTTGTATTACCTTTAAAACTCATCAGTATTAAACTCATTGAATGCAATGAAGAACCCATAGAATGCTACAGAGAAGTGTCAACTCAATATATTTCATTTATATTTTACCTATTCCAGATTTATAGATTCTAAATATAAAATGGTCTTCTTATTTTAAACTTGTATCAGCTTAACTTTTACTGCACAAACATTTAAACAAATCAACTTGGGGTTCACTACTGGTTGGTTAGCCTAACCAGGAAATTTCCTTGGTATCATACATTCTACTTTATTCTACCACAATTGTGTGTGCTGTAATTGATTTGTAAGATCCAACTGCATATTTCCTCTCTCATCCCAAATCGCCCATGGAGGCTCACATTTGTAGCAATTTAAAGTGCCACAGAGAACTTTTGTATCTTGCTTCCAAATCTTAATAGAAAAAAGTGCGAGGGAAAACTTGCAAAAAAGCCTAATGTTCTTCTTGATGATGTAGCAAATATTGCGTCAGGAAGGAATTTTGGGTGATATGTTTCTGTGTTTCTCTGTTTGCCCTTTTAAAATGGATTGCTTTAAGCAAACAATCAAATTCCTAAAAAAAGACTTTATGCCACTTGTAGATCTATTCATTTTGGCATGGGGTTAAGACAAAATGCAATTTTGTTCAAAAAAATACAAATCTGCAGACAAAATTAGAAATTAGCTGATGAAATGATGATTTAATCCATCACCTAATCACACAGCACACTCTAATATCCCCACAAAGTGCAATTGTTAAACCATTCTTAGAATTTTCTTATGAATATGTATTGATGTTGACGTAATGAAAAGTGAGTAATAGATGGTAGAAACCCAAAGTGGTTGTGATGCTTTGAGTGATGCCCTCTCCCCCCAACACGCTCGAGTGTAAATTAACCCCAATTTGGGTTAATCGTGTAACAAGCCTTTCATCAGCACGCTAAGAACTTTCACCCCCGGGCTTAGAATAAAGGGGTGCTAAGTTTCATTTAATTCCGGTCGCGGTGTCGATATGAATGGAAAGGTCGTGTATTCTCGTGTGAAAGTCGTCAGAGTCTTGGTTTGCCGAGGTGACGCGATAGGGAGAGCGTAAGGTTTTCACCCCGAAGGCGTTTATGGGGAGTCACGATCAGGATCCCATTAGATACAGTATTGGTTTACATTAGTAAGGTGTCAGTGCTAATGTTGCTCAGAAGTTAGGACAATTTGCATGTAGAAAGGTGATGTCTGGCATGAATGTACTTTGTAGATGCTCTTAGTTTATTCCAGAAGGATGCATTCTTCTTCTCATTTTTGCAGTGTTCAAGTTTTATTTATTTCTCCTCAAGAGATCAGCTGATAGAAAAATACATATATAAACAAACAAATGTATGACAATACATGAGATGTATTATAAAAAGTGAGGAAGGCAGTGGCCAAAAAGGAAATAAACCCTGTAAGAGGCTAACCCGTTAAGAAAACAAGATATGATATATAACATAAAACACATCAAAAAGGAACACAAGGTAAGATAAGAAATGAAGTATCTAACCTAATAAAAACAAATTAACAAAAGAGCCATATGTTGAATCTAATATTTAGATAAAAAGTTACATACACGTTTCTTGTTTTAATCTTGTGGATACCTGTTAATAAATGGAAATACATTTTTACAGTGGAATCTTGTTATAACAAGGTCCTTGGGACCTTGGAAATTACCGTTATATCGAGAATCTACTTATATCAGGGTAAAAATAGAAAAATGCAAAGAGTTGGTAACAGCAAAATACCTAGTTATATTAAATATCAGATACCTTGTATTATATTAGAGCTGTTTATAATGAGGTTCCACTGCATATACTTAAATGACATCTCTTTTTATTTTTTCAGTGGTTCATAAATTCATACGGAAATTTGTGAGAACTGAAAGTTGTATGCAAATAATGTCTTATTCTATTGAAGGCGGTGGGATCTGATATGGATCAGCTAGAGTTTTCTACAGAATATTTTTAAGAATATTGAAAAATCATAGACATAGACCATATTATAGAAGAGGAAAAAAAGAGAAGTTAAACGTAAATATCCATCATTCTGTTCAGGGTCAGATAGGGCTCATGAGTTCAAGTCTTTCCGGCACTGAAAAAGGCAATATCTTTGAGAAAGGGAAAACCTATTTTGTAATCAAAAACTAAATTGGAGTAGAAGTACCTTATTTGAACATTTCTTCAGATTTAGATTGATTTCAGATTTATTTCTGTGCGAGCCCAGAAAGACTTCACATTGGCTAATCATTGGAATAATTTGCTCACTTTGCTGTATATGTTTTGTGTTTAATTCGAGTGTGTATGGATAAGATGATCTTGTCTTTGCTTGTATGGTCTATCATCCAAAGTGAAATGGCTCCCTCTATTGTGCTAGTCTGTCCATGGTACATCAACATTGATTGCTCTTTGCAGGCAATGCATAATGGCATTCAGGATGATGTAAGAAATTGAAGTTTTGAAATGTGCATCATTTGGCAAGCATTTTTAGCTGATTTTTCTCATGTTTAATGTATTTATCTGTTTTCTTTTCTCTGTCTCAACCAACCCTCCTCTCTGACCAACTGTCTCTCTCTCTCTCTCCCCCTTTCTGTCCCTCTTTCCTCCTGTCTCTCTCCCTACTACCCCACCCCCTCATGATTTACCACCTCTCTCTCTTTTTCTCCCCTCTCTCCCTCTCTCCCTCTCTCCCTCTCTCCCTCTCTCTCTCGCTCTTGCTCCCTCTCTGTTCCATTCCTTCTCCTCTCTATCTTTCTCTACCCAATCTCTTCCCTCCTTTTCTCTTCCCTCCTCTCCTTTTCTCTTCCCTCCTCTCCTTTTCTCTTCCCTCTTTCTTCTCTCCCTCTCTTTGTCCTTCCCTTTTTCATTCAGGATTACAACTGAATGCATTTTGGAGTGCAGAGGATGTCTGCTGTTATCAGCCAATCACATGCTCTGTATGTAATGACAAGAGACATCAAGACCCTAACGTCTCTAGTACACCACCTGTGATTGGCTACTCAGTGATGGCAGCAGGTCCACAGTCTATGCAAGCAGTAGGGAAGGTGAGTTCCCTGTGTGTGTATGATGAAAACATTTATGATTTTAGGCAAAAACCACCTATTTCCGTATGTTGTAATATTTTTTAATTGAAACTGGTTACATGAAATTGAATTGTGACTTAAGAATTTAGATGTCATTTAACTGTCCAGGGGAGTGTTTCACAAAGATCCTAAGTTGAGCTTATCTCTAAGTTGGACTTAACAATTATGGAAAGCCTTTAGCATCTTTAACAATAATTTTGATTCAAATCATTTATATTATTTTTTATCATGGAGATTTCATGTTCTTGATGTGGAATTTAAGTCTAAAATACTTGAATATTTGCTTTGAATATATTTTATTTTTAGGCTACAAATGGCTCTCAATAAGTTTTAAGTCTAACTTAGAGTTCAGTTTGAATTAGGACCTTTGTGAAGCACACCCCCCCCCCCCCTGGTATCAAGAGGAACAGTAGAAAAACATTCTTTGATCAGACTTTGTCTCATTTTCTTTTTCTCTCTTTGTCTTCTGTACATTCTCTTTCCATCTCTCTCTCTCTCTCTCTCCCTCCCTCTCTCTCTCCCTCCCTCTCTCTCTGTCTCCCTCTCTGTGTCTGTGGGCTGTTCTTGTTTCTTTTTCTTTTTCTTCTCTCTCCATCTCCATGTCTCTCTCTCTCTCTCTCTCTCTCTCTGTCTGTTGTCGTTCTCTCTGCAGTCGTACATTTATCCTGAGGAGGTCGCCTGTTGCACTGCACTACTCTCACAAAAGAACCACGGACCAAAGAAGATATAACTCTTAGGGAGGAGCTAGAAGTGTCGCTCGTCTTCCAGACAGGTATCCGATGTATGCACACACATTGACATAGCCAACTGCATTGAGTTTCCTCATAGATCTGGAAGACTGTTATGATAATATGATTAGCTGAATATACACTGTAGCAGAATGAAACCTATGTAAAATTATGTAGAAACATATAGTTACAAAGACCACTCAAGGGAGACAATATAAGTGTACTTATGGACAGGTGCTGTAGAGGTGTTGTGGTCTAGTGGATAAGTCACCTGACTGCAGATCACAAGGTGCGGGTTCAAGTCCTGCCGCGGCACTAATGTCCTTTGGCAAGACGTTAATCTACATTTGCCACTCTCCACCCAGGTGTAAATGGGTACCTGATATGCTTGAGCGCTAGTTACTTTGGCAGCTCGGCTACAACCAGTGTAATATGTGTAAAGCGCCATGAGCGTCATAGCCTGGCTGATACTGGCGTTATATAAATATCCATATTGTTATCATTATTATTTTATGTATAGCTCCCTTGAATACACATTTTAGTGGAATATATTGTCCAAGGGAATCAACAATTTGTGGCTTTCCTTTACACAGTTTGTCTCTAAGTAGAGATGGATGCTGTAGCAGGTTTCATTGTAATCAGCCATCACACTTTACTTCAAACACTTGCAAATTAAAATTGCGTCAACGCAGTTCAAACATGTGACTTACCATACCAAAAAAATGTATTATGCAATAAACATAATTTTTGTTTATAACAGAATATCTAATTGTCTAATTAAATGCACTATTATACTGCCTTCTCATAAACAAATTTGGTATATGATATTATACAATTAGTTAATGGCCATGAGTTCAATGGTAAAAGATTGTGCACAAGGTGAAAGATAAGAGACGATCAAACATAATTGCACGCCTGGAGAATGATGCTGTTCAACATTACTTTTATCGCATGTCATGTGATTAACAATAGACCAATGAGGTTGCAAGAATCTTAGTAGGTGTTGTATAAACAACCCTGGAAGCATTTAAGAGGGTATTTGAAAGGGTTAAGTATCACAGGTGAGGTGATTCCACCTTTCATTAAAATTTATCGTCAAACTCACCTTTTCTTAGAACTTAGTTTTGCAGGTGGGTCTCCCTCTCTGATATGTGATATTAAGACGTACGTAACAACTTTGATGCCGGGTGATAAACTGATACCTGTTAATCTGATACCTGTTAATCTGATACCTGTCCTTAAACAAGGCCCGAGACCTGCTGGTGTCTCTGTTGGTTTGAACCGCCCGTCGGTATCCGTTTAGAATTAGAAATGGGCTCGATTAAGAACGAGTTCCGGGGAGAGGTGAAAATAATTTGTGAGCGTTGTCATTGTTATTATGCAAGTGTGGAAGAACATCAGAGAAAAAATGTTCCCTGAAAAGCATGGCTCTTCAAATGCCTTCACATTCTAAATATGACAAGTAACAGCTTAAAAATGAGGCCCGAATTGTATGCGACATGTTTGTGTAGTCCCATATAACTCTTTCTGTGTACAGTGCTTGTTACTTTACCAGGACTAGGCCAAATTTCTTATCATTTTGATGACTCCAGAACTTTGCAGTACACATCAATTATACATGTATGCTACATGATCAACTTTTTTTGATCGATTACACACTGTTTCTTTCACAATGCAATTGTATGACCAGAACTCAACTTTATCTTTAATTAGTATGATGTCATGTTGGGTTAACTGACCGACAAGTTTTTCACTATCGGAGATGTTTTATTACCCTGATCATATTTTGTGACCAGTATTACAAAGCAGTCGCAAAGGTTTTGAGGGTACATTTTAAGTGCATGTAATATTAACTTAAAGAAACTTCTTTTTATTGGCGTCTTCGTTGGTTTCAACCACCTTGTTGGAATCCATTTACAATTAGAAATGGGTAATTAATTAGTATGATGTCATGTTGGGTTGATTGACCGACAAATTTTTCACTAAAGGAGAGGTTTTATTACCCTGATCACAAATTGTGAACAGTTTTGCAAACGCAGTCGCGAACGTTTTGAGGGTACATTTTAAGTATGTGTAATATTGACTTAAAGAAACTACTTTTTAACAATATTGAAAAGAGATTTTGAAAGATGTCAAAAATTCAGGTTAGGAAGTGTATCAAAAACAACAATAAATGAGTGGAGAAAAATTCAAATGTCTCTGATGATAAGACATTCATCAAGTTGATAATTCTGTGGTATGACATGACTTCTTTTTGAAAACTATTTATAGTTTTATTCCTTCTTTTTTTTGTCAATTCTAGATATTTGTTTGTTTGTTTTTATCGATCTCTTCAGGGATTGGATTCCTTTCATTCTATGATAAATTAGTGAACAACTCGACTGCTTTCATCCGTTTTTTTCATGATGTTATAGAGTACTGAAGTGCGACGCCATACTGGCCAAGTTGTCAAGGTACCTGGTTCCAAGCAAATTTGTGCTAAGCAATAGTGTGATGATCACACCAGCCAAAAGCACTGAATTTGCCCTGGTCCAGCCCGTTGCTTGATTGATTTCACGGTAAACCTCATGCGCAGGCTATGTTGTTTAGAACCAGTAACCTGGAGGGAGAGCGAATGACGTAACCACTTCGGTACTCTATCAGGCATGTAGTACCTTTCAGTTTGGTAACGTTGTTGTCTCCTCCATTCATATGAAACTTTGATGTAGTCATCATTCATATTATAAAGTGTAAGCAACTTATTACACAAAGATGAATATCATCAAAAGTCGTGTCATTATACTGCCAATGATTTAAATTTAAATATAGTCTGAGGAGAAGAGTAGTCTGACAAAGAAAGATCGTGAAAGTAGTGTTGATGTTTGCATTTCGGATGAGACAGCTTTCAATCTGTCATCAAAGAATGATAATGTATATTGATTTTCAGTACTATTTCAACCTTATGATGCCACATGCAATCAAAAAGATCACAAGCCTACTCGAGCTTGAAAAAGCTGTCAAGATTAGTACTCCAGTTTTAGGTGCGTTTGGATTAGTTGATACTTATGCTATGACTTATTTACGGATCTTATGTTCATTGTCATTGAAACATATTTATATGATAGTTATGAAATATAGAGAATAAACTTAAAAAATTATATGATGTTATATGTTGATGATTTAATCTTCTATTCATGAGGAATAACAGAGCTGAAGCCTTTCACGTGCATGTATCTAGTATGTGTATCCCATGTCAAGCACATTGTTAGGAATGTTTTCCATGTATTCCTATACTAGGGTATGGAGATGGTGCACATAATATCCAAACTTTAGAGATATTGCTAGGGTTATAAATGTAACTATGGTAATGCAAAATGATTGTTAAAAAAATGTACACGTATAAATTATATGATTAAGATCAAACTTATTGTAACATTGTATGCTATTGCCAATGATATGTATTCTGCTAAAACTCTATTGATCAGAGTTGTACAATGTATAATCTTTTCTACAGCCACAAAACAGATGTGATATGAGAAAATAAATTCCTTTTTCATATACTTTACACAATCTGCACAATTTGTATTTCCTCAAAATAGTTTTATGAGATAAAGGAAACTTGTGCCAAACTTTAAATCCTGCATGCTAGGATCATGGAGCAGAAAATATAAAGTAGATGGTACAAGGAGGGAGGGAGGAAGGGAGGGAAGATGAGAGGGCAGGAGTAATGAATCTCCTCCCCCACCCCCAGTGATTACTCTTTCTTCCCTCCTGCTCTCCCGGGAGGGAGGGAGTGGGAGAAATGAAAAGGTGAGAGAGAAAGAGAGAGAGAGAGGGAGGGAGAGAGAGAAAGAAAGAATGAAAGAGGGAAAGGTGAGAGAGAGAGAGAGAGACAGATAGAAACAGAGAGAGGGAAAGGTGAGAGGCAGAGAGAGAGAGAGAGAGAAAGAATGAAAGAGAGGGAAAGGTGAGAGAGAGAGAGAGAGACAGACAGATAGAAACAGAGAGAGGGAAAGGTGAGAGGCAGAGAGAGAGAGAGAGAAAGAGAGGGAGAGAAAGAGAAGAAGAAGAAATGACCAATATAAATGTCATAATTGTGGGTATATGGGCAACTAAACTTGATGGCGCTGTTGAATTTTGAAATGGCTCGGAGCCAGCTCAGTAAATGTGATAATGCCAAGCGCAATTTCATTTCTCATGCGTTGCCCGACAAAGCAACAAATGCCAATTTGTGCGTCTGATGTCCTTGTAGGCAAACCAAACCAATAAAACTGATGACAAAGGTCTATTAATGGAAATGTTATGATAATTGATATATATATGTCTTTGTTTCCCAGTCTATAAAGCCAACGATCTATCTAACATCTCTCTTTGAAACATGAAGTATGAAATATACTGGTACCGCTATGTGCTTCCAAAACAATAAAATTATCTTGAAAGCATTCTGCTTTTTAAATTAGGTAAATTTAAAATAAAAATGAATGTAGCTCATATTGAGAGACCGCCTTTGCGCCAAACATACGGGTTTTTTATGGCTTGGTATGTCACGTTTATAGAATAACTATACCATCAAATTAAAAACGCATAATTGTGTTTCTAGCAGACTAGAATATACATTTTGCGGAAGTAAAGATATCAATGTTGTACAAGTGGTTTATTCGCTAATATTTCCTTGTCATGAATAATCATCAATTAAACAAACATTTTTAATTGATGTAAGATAGTAATCAAAGTTGTTTCGAAATACTGTTTTCGAGGTCGATAACCTTGTCCGAGGCACGTTCTCATGTTTTTTTTTTTCTCGTCCTTTTTTTGTTTGCACTCCGAAATGTAACCATGCTCAACGAAACAAACACGGAATAAAAAGATTGATAGTGTCAATGAAAAATAAACTATGCGCGCCACTATCATTTAATCAACAATTGATGCGAACAGTCGCTGCTGCGTGAAGTGCAGTTCCCTTTATCATAACAACGCGTTTCATTAAAAGAAACAAAGAAATTAATAATGAGAAGAGCTCGCGAGTTGGGGAACAGCGGTAATCCGGCGCTGACTCGGGTGGCAATATTGCTCTGGGCTTCATTTCGTTCAAGATATATGGTTATGTTTAGGGTTGGGATCGAATTTTAAGGTTAAGTTAAGGGTTATACTTAGTGTTTAGTTATGATGTCCATGGTTGAAATGAGTAAATCAGATTCGATTAGTGAAGGAAAATGACAGTGGGGGAATCGTCAACGAAGCCCGATTGTGTCGTACAACTGCCTTATCCTACGTTAAACGAATCTTTCTCTTGAAACACCGTGTACTTCTCGATGCACATGTGTCAATCATCGCATT